AACACCCATATATTTTTGGCCCCGTGCTTGTGTGTTTTCAACATATATTTCTTTTCCTCCCCCCCATTTTTGGGCGCTTGCTTCCCGTTGTTAAACGGCCCCCCCCCCCCCCCCCCCCAGTCCCCAAATCCGAACCTCCGTAAGGGAGTGTTGTTAACCCCCCAAGTGCTCTGCTAGGCTCAGCCACTTCTGATAGGTCATGAGAGCTTGATATCGCAAAAGAATGCATCATCGTCTCCTCCCCGGTTGAAGAGCTCATCATCGCCCCCCCAAGTGGTGCGCGGTTCCAACTACCTGCGCCGAGTAATGGCTTTTGCTTGTAACCTACACCCACTGGATGCAGGCACGGCTAGCCGTTGGGGTCAGATCAAGCTTTGCGGTGCCCCGTCTATTAGGGAAGCCCTTTTTTTCAGGGTACCGAGGAAAGAAAAGGCGGCATGGTGGCTTGGAAGGTGGTGATGGATAATGAAGATGTTAGGGTTGGAGATGGAATCAAGTGGTAGTTGGTGCAGTGATTTGAGCGGAAATAATAGAACAAGGATGATGGCAAACAATAGAAAGAATGCAAGATCGAGAACCGGGTAGAAGGCACTGTTAATCTTGGTGAGAGGGAAGGAAACAAGATAACAAATCTTGCCACTAGGGGGGAGATGGATGAAGAGAAACTGTTATGTTTTGATTGATTGTCTTTTGGTTGATTGATTGTCTTTTGGTTGATTGATTGTCTTTTGGTTGATTGATTGTCTTTTGGTTGATTGATTGTGTTTTGATTGATTGAGCACCCAGGCCTCCCGGGGGTACAAGATGTGGCAAGCTGTCCGCTATATATAATAACGGCTTCAGGAGCTGACATTCTGCCACAAGGGTGCCATATCATGGCTCCGTGTCCGTATTGGAACCTGGTAGGTAACTTTAACGGAGGCCCGGGTAAGCTAGTGGACCCCCGGTTGATCACCTATCTACCTAAGGTACCTATCTAGGTTAGCCCGTCACTACGGAATAATCGATAGGTAAGCATTTGGACTTTATCATTCGAGTTCAGTTTGAATAAATGATCGCATGGAAGGACGTTGACTTAAGACATACATATATCGCTAGAAGCTCTGTCGATTAATAATTGATCGTCAACGGACTGCGGGGCGATTGCAAATTGACTGTTGACCGATTGAATTGAACAGTAAAAGCTGAGAAAGTACGGAGCCGGGTGGTGGAGGTGATCAACTTTAGTTGACGCAGTTACTCGGATGTCATTTTCAGATTTCTAAAGCCTCCGGTCCTAGAGGAAAGTAATTTTATGTAACCGTGGAAATACCAGGTCATCTTGTGCAGAGTCCGTTCTGCCAAGGCAACCCTTAGATTGATTGCGAATAATCACATGGGGTTCATACCGATTCGGGTGAAACATAGGTAGTCTTATATTGCTAGCGAACAAACCAGCCAAAGCCCTCACCAGCAAAAGTAATGAAGAGAATGAAGAGTGAAATGAAAAAAAAAAAAAAAAAAAAAAAAAAAAAAAAAAAAAAAAAAAAAAAAAAAAAAAAGACGATGATGTCGACCCGATTCGAACGGGCACTCCTAAAGGAACAAGACATCAAGCGTGAACTATAGTCTTGCGCAGAACCCCTTCTGCCACGACATCCTTAGGGGGGAGTCGTGTCTGTCTCTAGCTAGACCTGAGCGAAAATATCGTTTTATTGCTTGCGGGGTATACTACTTTGCTGGTATCGGAAACAAAAGTCGAAAAAAGGACAAAAAGATATGATGCCGGCCCGGTTCGAACGGGCATTCCCGAAGGAACAAGACATCAAGCGTAAACTCTTGTCTTGCGCAGAGCCCATCCTGCCCACGGCATCCTTATGCCACAACCATCCAGGGGTGTTATACAGACTCAGATGAGAAATGGCGTTATAACCCTCACAAAGTAAATCTCCCTACTAGTCACTCGAAAGTAGGGGAAGGGCAAAAAAAAAAAGAAAAAAGAGAGAGAATACAACGCCGACCTGATTCGAACAGGCAACTCCCGAGGGAACAAGATAACACAATATAATCTCGCGCAGATCCCCATTCTGCCACGGCATTTTCATCGACCAATCCTCTCCGGAGTGCTACACAGACTTAGATGAAAACTATCCTTATATCCCTTGCGAAGATACCTCCCTACCAACCCAAACCCTTTACCAAAGCAAAAGTAAAAGAGGACAAAATAGTGTATGAAAAAAAAAAAAAAAAAATAATGATTCGATGCCGGTCCGATTCGAACGGACGCTCCCTAGGAAACAAGATAGATATTAGAAGTAGATATCAGTCTTGCGCATAGCCCCGGTTATGCCACGGCACCCTGTCGATGGTTTTTTCTCTATGCTTTTTCGTGCTTGCGCGTAAAGCGGTTGGTAACTCCGGATAGGGGAGGGGGGGGGGGGGGGACTCTTACATCAGAGAAATATCATGTACCTACTTAACCTAGGTAAATAGTTGAACCTGTACTAGTTGATAAGGCACATCGTGATGCCTATTAGCCTACTATTCAGGTACCTACTACCTAGGTGTAACAGGAGGTATCTACCCGAAAACTACCCCTTATGTTATCTATACCTACCTACCTAGGTAGGTCTTACGTGTCTATTCCATACCTGATGGTCGCCAATGGCAGCTGCTGTTTACTCCTCGATTTAGAAGAACCATTGCAAGAAGCATCTACAATCAGCGTCCCCAGTCATCACGAGAATTACAAGAGCAATCCTCTCATCATCTTCCTTATGCTTCAAATCAAAGCATGAGCACGAGCACACCTCATCGAAAGAGTTCTGATACACCAGTCTTTGTTAGAATAGCCAACCGAAACGAGCCGGTCGACCCCTACGACAAAGACTACCTAGGTATGTAATCAACGTGATTGACATACACTTGAGAGATGGAGAAGAAACCGAACGCCGCCGCCGTCGCCGTCGCCATGACTTCTCTCTTATGAGTAACTTTCCTTTGCATGCCTACCAATGCCCTGGACGCCGCCTTTTCCATGCAATGTATTTTTGGGGGGAGGGGGTGGGGGTGGGGGTGGGGGATAAGGGATGAGGGATGGGGAATGGAGTGAATGTGTGTGATTGTGCTGGTGTTGGTGTGTGTGTCGTGATAGTACATTTTCTCCCATGACTCAAAGTTCCATTTCAATTGACAAGAGGGATCCTAGACCTGGATCCAAAAGGAACGGTTTCGTCCACGGGTTACAAGCTGCTTCTCTCTGCCACTTCCTCAAAAAGGGAACCCGTAGCCTTATGAACAGTATGTGTATCGCCTTGGTGTGGTATCAATGCGTAGTCGCAAGAAATCTAGGGGGTATAATCGGTACAGTCGTAGCCTTAAATCCGAACAAGAAAACCATACAGGTAGGGAAAATGACGTAGCACGTGAATCTCGGGATGTTGCGCGTGAGGGAGACGATGGCGAGGTACGTTGGCTCTATGGTGTTGATTGTTTTTTTTTGTCTTTGGGAGCCTTTGTATTGCTTGAATTGTTGCCAGCCTTAAGTTGGGTCTCACGAGAGTGTTGCCGAGATGGTGCTGATGTTATACAGGAAAAGTCAAAGGCGTGCTATGTTTTTGGTGAAAGAGGATAGGTGGGCGTTACCGATGGGGATGACAGATCAAACTCTCTTTGCTTGGTTAGGTACTCAGTAAGGCCAGTCGAAATGAGTGACTCGTTGTTGACTGAAGGAATATCCCCACGTAACTCTGCAGGATTACTCTATAGGCCCGCATGGCTGTTGTTGGTTTCTACGACGTTATCAGAAAGGTTAATCAGCAACTGGGCTAGGCAACGCTTGGTAGCTGCATCGTCACGGAGCACCGAGCTGAATGTTGCGTCTCGCAGCGGCTCGGGGAGGCATTGTCGGAGGGCCTCTCTAGCCCGAGCATTATCGCTGAGGCGTAAGAAGCAGCGCACCACGTGCTTGAGCAGGCGAGCTGTCTGTTGCTCCACGAGCTGGGCGACCATGTTACTAAGAACAGTGCCCACAGCGTAGAAGCGCTCGTAGGTAGCGCATATGTAGTTAAGACCATTGTCGTCAAGCAGTATCTTCTGGACAATGAAGATGGCGACTGTCTTGCTGAGCTCGGATCCGGTCTCCATGATCCGGAGGCAGAGAGGGATGATCTCTGTAGTGAGGAGAAAGTTGATCACCTCGCTCGAGTCGTTCTTAACCAATGCGCCAATTACACCAAGCGAGGTGAGGCGCAGATACTCAAACGGGCGCGACTTGGAGGTCGTGTTGAGGAAGGGGTATAGGAACAGGGGGATGTGGGCTATATTTAAAGTGTCAGTGCGTCACATATAGCTATCATAGGGCGACAAGGGCGAAGTACCATTCAAGAACAAGGTTCTCGTATCATTGTGAGATGCCACGCACTGAAGAAGCGCGAGGGCGTTGCAGACTCGGTTGGAAGCAGCAGCAGTCAGTTGAGACGGGTTGAGCAGATTGTAGACCGAGATAATCTCCTGCATGAGAGAAGTCATGACACCTGTTGTTTTTCATTCCGGTTAGCATCGATATATGTCACCACAAGTTTGAAGGGGGAAGTCGACTAACCAAACGAATGCCACAGGATTAGAGCAAGCTCGGGGACCTGTTCCCGTTTCTTGCTTAGCTCGAGGAGCGCGGCCTCGCGTGTGTTCTCGCTTAGCAGATCGGCGACAAAGCTGAGGGTTCTACGATTGTCCTCCGACACGTTCTCCAGGCCATTCTCTTGGACATGGGTAGCAACCGATGCGCCCATACTAGCAGCGACATTGTTGTGGGCACCTGCTAGTCGATTGTAGTGTTGCTGCTGTGCGGCGGCGGCAGCGGCGGCATGCTGGGCATGCTGGGCATGCTGGGCTTGCTGGGCTTGGTGCTGGTGGTTAGGCTGATGCATCCATTGCTGATCGGCGTGTGGATTGTACTGCTGGTGCGCTGCGTACATGGACGGGTTCGGCAGCATGGTGACGGTTTCGGAAGGCGTACGTGGCCCTCGATTCTCGCAGCTTAGCTTCGCGATAGCCTTTGGCTAAAAGAAGTTATCGGCGCAGGTACTGTTACGGCAAGCTCGAGGTGGATTGGTTCGCGATTCTCGATTCTGGATTGGAGACAATAATCGATCGAGACTGCAAAGAAACCAATGGTTGAAATGGTTTAACTGGTTGCAGCCGTGAGTGTAGCAGCAGATATATTCGGCTGCTCTACCTAAGGTAGGTTACGCTCGTTTGTCGATAGCTGTCAGGGTAGACAGAGCCGCAGAGGTGACCGTTGTCGTTGTCGTTGTCGTTGTCGGGCGTTGACGATTGACGATTGACGATTGACGCTTCCGTTTGCTTGGTAAGGGAGAGCCAAACGCCGAAGCGGGACAAGTGCGACCAGTGTTAGGAGTACGTATTGAGTACCTAGGTAGTTTGCTACTTAGAAGAGTAGAGACGACTTAGGTTTGAATTGGAAAGTCGAAGTGGAAGTCGACGAAAGGTGGACTTGTTAGACTTCGAAGTGCGAAGTGCGTCTACGTGCAAGCCCGAAAAGACCAGACAAAGTACTATCGCATCTTAATTTGCCGACCTGGACTGGAATGAGGGACCAAAGCACTGACCACTCTTTGTTCCCACTTATCAGCCTAGCTACTAGATACCTAGGTACCTAGCTTAAGGTTCTCCCACCTGGCAGCCTTATGTGCAACACAGGAGCCGTCGCTAAGCTACGCCGAAGCGGGGTGCTTCAAGGAGCAGGAGCAAGAGCCAACACCGCATCTACCATCTATGTACATAGTATGTACCTACGTACCGGGGTAACGAGCTGAAGCACTTGTAAATGCATACGGCTATTCCGTTCTTACTCATAAGAAAAAGAAGTGAGTTTTAACTACAAACATTCACAGTCACGCCAATTAGTATCAACTGATAACTATTTTTATAATTGGCATATATACAAGTACCGGCTATAATGTTATATGAGAAAATCCTTATATTCGCACTCTTTTCCTATCATGCTTGCCGGGTAATTCTTTTTGTTACTCAAGTAATGCTAGACTAGATCTACAAGAGACTCGTCATAATTTAACATGATACCTCTAGTCCCTCGAGGACGGCACGACGAGGCTAAGGCTTGCGATTACAATTGCTTTGTGACACCCCTATTATTCCGAGGCTGATATGATAGTAAACACAACAAACGACCAAAAGAAAAGAAACTCGTAGCAGTATGTTCATGATATGGCCTAATCTTATACTGCTACCAGTATGAGACTCGAACCTAGATAAGTCACCGCCATCACCCCAACGTCACATCTCACATCTCACGCGTCCAAACACGTTACCAGCCAACCAGGTGCATACAGGAATAAGTATTCCTAACCAAACCAAACCATATTCCGATGTCCCCGGAACACGTTCACTTTTTTTTTTTTTTTTTTTTTTTTTTTTTTTTCTACATTACTGCTTCTGTTTCTACATTCTCCTACTGCTTCTGCTTCTGCTTCTGCCACTACTCTTGCTTCCTACTTTCTGCTTCTGTCTGTCTCTGCATGTCTGTATCTCTCTACCTTGCTACTAGGAAAAAAAAAAAGCCCTATCCATCCCGTCCCATTTCTCAACCATCAAAACATTCGTCCAGAAAGTTCCAGAAGTTCCAAAGTTCCCTTTGTTTGTTTTTTTTTCCCCCAAACTTGCTTTGCTCTGCTTTCAATATCCTTACATGGCATGACTCCCCCAAGGCTTATAACTTATAACCCAGGCTCCAAGCTCAGCTCGGTCCGGTAATCCACGGACGAAACGAGGTCCGCTCCCTATATTCGAGACCAAGAACACTCAAGACAACAAGCCCCTTCCTCCTCCCCATTCCTCGAGGAGAGAAAGAAATTGGAAAAGAGGGTGGATAGATGGGAAAAAAGCAGGGAAAAGAGGGAGAAAAATGCAACATGTATTCAACAACCTCAAGACAACGAACAGTTATTAGCCATGTCTATACCACCCCAGACACTCCAACAAGCGCAGCACAAACACACACACCCACACACAAAAAGGCCTAAACCCCCATCGCAAACGACATCCATCTTATGGTAAAACGCTTCCCCTTCGCCCAGTCAGTCACACACACACACACACACTCTCTTTTTCTACTCCTCCAATTACCATTAAACCACTTTTACTTTAATTCGACTTGCGACGTAAGTTACCCCCTTCGTGGGAAAAAAAAAAAAACGGAATCAGAAGATTTTATAAGTGAAGCTCTTTCAGAATCTGATCCGCCATGTTCTTGAACTGCCACGTGTTTCCCTCCATGCGCTTGAACTGAAGTCCGTGCAGCGAGAGCAGGGGGACCTT